CAACTCTTACTTCACTGCTAAATATCAAAATCCTCGATAATGAAATCCAATTTGAAAAAAAATAATTATTTAACAAAAATTCAACTTTAAACAGAATGCCAAGTGATTGACAATTAAGGCATAACTTATTATAAACACTATATTATCAAATATAGGATTAAAAAGGAACAAAGAATTAAAAAATCCAAAGCGGTAAAACCGACATCCAACACAGCTCACCCAGTGTAATAATCCCTCGGCAAATAGACGTCCTTTACTGGGCCAAATTGTCCAAATTGCCTCTTCAAGTATTCTGGCCTGCATACAGAAAATCAAACTATTACTAGTGAACCATGGATGACTCTAAAGTGAAACTGACCAAGCAAAAAGCTACCCTGCTTTGTAAGCTGAAAAATTAACAAGCAGAATGGGGACACAAGCACCAATACAATTCAACTCCTATCTTTCCAAGAAAATAATCATAAATACGTAATGTCTGGACAAGAATATGTAGTACAGAAAGAGCGAGAAGCTTCATAATGAAGAGATTTAAAAAAGGGATCCAGCCAATAAAACTGAAATTCTCTGCTACTTTTTTTACCAAAATATACAGAAGATAATAAAGTTCGAGCATTGCATCGAATATGAAATATAAGACCTTTCAACAAAAAGATACCTCAAAAAACAAGATTAACAAAATAACAAGAAATAAATGCGACTGTATCACGATAATTAGTAGGTTTCAGGCAATTAACAAGCCGAAAACAGTATTCCCAGCTCCATTTGAACACGGAACAAAAGCAAAGAACATTGTGGGTTATATCTTCATATTAAGCAAGACGAAAATATACGACCAAGTAATGCACTAATGCTTACCGACAGTCATGGCGAAGGTTGCGAACTAAAAGACTGGTAGGAGCATCTCCTCTCCCACGGCCACCGTTGCGTCCTCTTGGGCTGGGGCTCCTCCCTCTTCTACCATAACCTCTAGGAGGTGATGGAGTATAACTCCTACCTCTCATCTATAGAAATTATTTAGATCCAGCTCAACAAAAACATTTAAGAATCCATATTACAATAAAGGATAAAAAAGTGATAGGAAGAATACAACCAAAAACAATGTAATCGAGAATTTCAACAAACAATATAGAAGAGACAATACATGTATGAATAAATAACAAGCCATCACTTCAACAAAAAGGGAATGACGGAACATCATGATGACAACTAATCCATCATTAGGGAGTAAATATAAAAAAAGGAAAAAGAAAGAAGATATATCTAATATTCTAAAGCTGATTCTAATATCATTAATATGCAGTTGGTAAAATACCAAATACAAGATACAAGGTAAGAAAGAAAGGATTAATTAAAACACATCACAATGGACTATTTCAACGTGCCGATAATAAAAATTCCATATATAAATACTAAAATTTATTGCACTATCTCACTTGCAAATTTATATGGTCCTCAAAACTCTCCGGGTTTATAACAAAAAAGAACTAAATAAGAAAAATAAAAGAAAAAGGATTGCGGGCATCAAAGCCATAGCTAATACATAAATTGCAATAGTAAAAGCTTTTTAAACCTTTCTAATAATCATCAATTCGTTCTTTATAGCTCACATACCATTAATTCATAATTTCATTAAGAAAAAATAAACAAATAGGCATCTTAAATACTGCTCGAAAAAGAACCAAAAAATTTATTAAATAAAATGGAAATTCAATTAGAAAAGTACGAATCTACATATAAAAGTGAATATGATCTAGTAAGCAACCGTATGCACTAACGAATACCCTAAAATCAAGAACGGGAAATCAAACACACGCACACACACAAAATAATATACGAAATTGATGAACAGGAAAAAGAAAACACAGATCAGATCCAATAATTAAGAAAGAGCAACAGAGATGATAAATCCTAAGATTTTACTACAAAAATTTCTACGAATCTACAAATGAATAATGTAATACCTGAAAACGGCAAGGAACGAGTACCTGAACCTTAAGGGGAGAAAATCTCGAGACTGCTTTCTGCGGAGAATACTGATTAGGGCAATGCATTGGAACAGAGCGCGTGCAGCTATTTATACTAAGATTAATTTCAGTAGTGCCCATTGAACTATTCACTTATTGTCAACTTGGCCACTGAACTTATAGATTATCCAAACTTATCACTGCACTTTGGAAATGTTACATTCAAACCTTTAATTTGTCGATAATTTTGAACATGTCTGCATACGAACTCTTAGAATATAACTAAATCTATGTTTGGATTTCACATATAAATTATTTACAAGTACTCAGACTTACTTTTTACTAACACATTTCAAAAACTCACATGTTCATTACTATTTTTTTTTTTTTTACTTATTTATAATTTAAATAATTTGTAAACACTACCCAACACGTGAATTCTAACGATTTGATCAATTGGCACATGAACACACAGGGTTTTCAGTTAAAAAATGAAGGAATGTCCAATTAAATTAGTCAATGAAATATTTTGTAAAATTAGTGATGAGTTTGAAATAGTTTAAACTTGCATGCTAATTTAAGACAAGTTTTGTGATTATCCCTTTTTATACAGAACTGATGTTTTCTTCATTGCAATATATTTTTACTGAAAATTGAAAACAATTGTTGCAAGGAGCTAAAGAAGGGCAATGGAGGAGCAATTCATACTAAGAGTACCACCAGCAGTATCGGAAAGAATTGAGCGTCTTCTAAACGACCCAACATCTTCAGACGACAAGTCCTTGGATTTGAGCTTTTCTGGTATTCAACAAAAAATTACCCTATCTCCTTTTGAGAAATGGCCTTAATTCGTTCGAGTCTCGTGATTTTATTTTTTATTTTTATATTACTCGTTTGCTCTTACAAATTCTTTATATTTGTTCAATCGGAGATACCAATTTCAAGAGATGATGGTATTTTTTATTTTTATTTTTTTAGTCGTTGAATATAAAAATGCACGATCAAGCTTCAATTTTTTGAGCAAAATGTATAGCACTAACTGTTTTCTTATCATCTTCTAGCATAGACTATATACTTCCGATTGCTGGCTATAGCTTTGAAATATTGAACCTTGTGGGTTGATAATAGATAATGCGGTCTAAATTCGGTAGATTCGGGTTTCCGAATTGAAATCCTAAATGTGAAAGAAACTTCAGAACCCTACCTAGAATTCAATAATCTTTTAGTGACTAAACAACAGTTCAACTCATTGCTCCCTTTGGTTCTTCTTGATCGAGTTAAACAAAATACAGGATAGGAAAGTTATTGATGCAGAAGCGTGTAATTTGTTAACAAACAAGAGAGAACGGGGTGTATAGAAGAGAAGAATCGAGGACAAAGGAAATCAATTTTTATTCATATAATCAAGGTTATGAATTACAATGATAAAGCCCTTTATATATAGTATCAAAATAAACAAATAATCCAATCTAATTAAATCATTATAATTCATATTAAACTCTGTATTAAAATTCTATCTTTACAGAAATTTGTCGGCACCATTCTGCTTCTTTTTTCCTTTGCTTTATAGAAGCAGAGACGTCTTTCTAAAGAAGAAAAAATGATGCATGTCTCATGTAGAAAAGATTTCGTAGGTATTTATAGCAAAGGTCAATCTTGGGATACTTGAGAGTTTTGCCCTAGGCACTGAAAGATTATTTAACATTCTTTTCTGTGCTGAAAATTTGTTGGCAGCCAATCTTCCTTTTTTCCTTTGCTTTAGAGAAGTAGATACTTTTTTCAAAAGAAGAAAAAAAGATGGATGTCTCGTGTAGAGAAGGATTTGTATTTATTTATGGAAAAGTCCTATCTCGATTAATGTAGCAAAGTAGTTGCCATTATTATGGCATTTTGCTATTATTTCTCGAAAACTTTGTGTCTTGCTACGACTTTTATAATTCTGTTGTAATATTTTCAACTAATCTGTTGTTAATTTTCCTACGGATTTTGTATTTTCCATGGTTATACTAAACCTCATGTAATCTGTAGATCAACAATGTTTTCTATTATTTTTTCAGATTTTAAATTTGGATTTGTCTATATCCCTAGATTTATAGACTCATTTCTAAGAGTTATCATAACCCAACAATTTGTTTATTGGTTTTTGGTGATTATCCTGAACCCCTTAAGTCTTAATCCTATTAAGTCCCTATTTGGTGTAGATTAAAATCAAATTTTTAGTAGATTGTTAGAATTGTTTCCATGCCTCTCAATTGAGAATTTCTCCCCATTAAATAGGAATTTTCTCCCTAGTTACCGTCCTAAATTACAGCCAAAACATTTCTATCAAATCTCCCAATTACATCACTTTCATATTTCGTATAAAAAGAAATAAAGTCTATTCTATATTTACAATATAATCATGTGCATACTATGTGTGATATGTTGTAATCCCCCAAAATTGATGCTGATCGATCAAAAAGCATCAATTTGTCGACCATAAACTGAAGTCGATGGTGGCCGAGAGCCTTGGTAAATATGTCAGCTGTCTGAAGATCCGTAGAAACGTGAGGAAGTGTAATAACTTGTTGGTCAAATGCATCTCGTATGGAGTGACAATCGACCTCAATGTGTTTGGTTCACTCATGGAATACCGGATTAGCAGCAATCTAAACAACGCTTCTGTTGTTAGCATGAAGTGGAGTAAGAGTAAGTTGATGAAAACCAAATTCACCGAGTAAGCCCTGAAGCCACACAATCTCAGGGCAAGCGGAGGACATAGCTCGATATTCAGACTCAATGGAAGACTTTGAAACATGATTTTGCTTTTTACTCTTCCACTAGATAAGTGCATTTCTAAGAAACATGCACCAACCAGTAAATTGACCGTCGAGTATCCGCGTAACCAGTCCACTCAGCATCACTAAAACTAATCAACTGTAGGAAATTCCTAATAGGAAAGAATAAACCTCGACCAGATGGAACCTTTAGATAACGAATGATACGCTGCATGGCTGCCACATGAGAATGTATAGGAGATTACATAAATTGGCTAACTTGTTGGACTGCAAAAGAGATATCAGGCCTTGTTATCGTCAAATAGTTCAAACTTCCCACCAGTTGTCGATATAGCAAAGGATCGGGTAAAAGATCTCCTTCTGCCTAGCGAAGCTTCAAATTGACCTCCATAGGTGTGAGAACTGAGTTGCCTGACCCAAGTTTAGTAGAAGCAATTATAACTTAAGTATATTTGTGTTGATGTAACAGTGTGCTTTTAGAAGTGGAATGCACTTTAAGGCCAAGAAAATACTGCAATGGACCAAGATCTTTCATGTGAAAAGAAGTTTGAAGATGTTGCTGCACTTCCTCAATTAACTATGAATCAGAACCTGTAATGACAATATCATCCACATACACTAGAAGAACCACAATGCCAATATCAGTCTTTCTAAGGAAGAGAGAGAAATCATATTGACTTTGGATAAAATTGAAATCAAGGAGATTAGTGTGAAAAATATCAAACCATGCCCGTGGTGCTTGCTTTAAACCATATAATGACCGCTTCGAATGACAAACTTTAGAGCATGAGCGAGCGAATAGCCCAGGAGGAGGAGTCATGTATACTTCTTTCAATTCTCCATGTAGAAAAGCATTCTTGACATCCATTTGTTGAAGTGACCATTTTTGGGATGCAGCAATGGCAGTGATAGTGCGTACTGTAGTCATCTTAGCCACCGGTGCAAATGTCTCCTCAAAGTCAATGCCATACTCTCGTTTGTTTCCAAGTGCCACCAAGTGTGTCTTGTATCATTCGATGGAACCATCAAAGCATAGCTTCTTTGTGTAAACCCGCATCCAATAACTTTTACCCATTTGGACATGGTACAATGTCCCAAGTATGATTATCTTAGAGAGCTTGAAGTTCTTCATGCATAGCTTGCCTCCAACAAGCTTGGCTAATAGCCTGAGAGTAAGATTTGGGGACAGGAGTATTATTAGTCGTAGCTTGGAAGGCAGTATGTGAGAAACCATACTTATCTGGAGGATAGGTGACATGATTGGAGCGTCGAAGTACAGGCTCCGGAGGACGATGCTCAGGTTCAGAGTCAGTCTTTAGTTCGAGATCAGGGGAAAGAGGCAGTTGGGGACGTCTTTGATATTCAAATCCTGGTTTAAAGCGTTCAATATGACCAAGGCGTAGCATTAAAAGTAGGGAGAATGACAGAAGTAGAATCAAGAGTGATACGAGATTGGAAGAAATATTGATTTTCAAAGAAAATCACATTCCGAGAAATGCGTAGCTTATTAGTGTCCGCATCATAACACAAACCCTTTATGAGTAGGACTATATCCCATGAAAACACACTTAGCCGCTTGAGTTGTAAGCTTGTGACATTTGGTGGGTGGTAAATGAACAAAGCAAACACAATAAAAAGTATGTAAAGAATGATAGTCAAGAACATTACCAAACAAGCGAGAGTTAGGAGAATCATAATTCAAATTGCGGGAGGGCAATCTATTAATCAAATATACAGCCGTAGATAAAGCTTCTACCCAAAACTTAGAAGGCACAGAAGATTCAATCAATAAGGTACGAACGATATCTAGGATGTGTCGATTTTTAGGTTCTGCGACACTATTCTATTGGGGAGTATAAAGACAAGAGCGTTGAGGAAGGATCCCCTTTATTTTGAGATAGTCCTGAAAATCTTTCGACATATATTCCCCCGGGTGTCATAACGTAAAATTTTATTGTTAGTGGAAAATTGGGTCTCAACATAAGCAACAAAAGTGTGAAAGATAGAGAAGACTTCGGCTTTGGAGTGGATAAAATGCGCCCAAGTAAAACGACTATAATCATCAATGAATGTCACAAAATACTTGTATTGAGCATGTAAAATAATAGGACTGACACTCCAAACATCAGTATGAATAATATCAAAGCAACTAGAGGCACGACAACCATGATCAGGAAAAGGTAGAATTTAGGTCTTACTAAGTTTACATGTAGTACAATCGGGAGATAGATGAGTAGAATCTATATTACCCAAATAACCTTGTTTCACAAGATAAGTCAAAATAGTAGAATTGGGATGTCCTAATTTCTTATGCTAGACATTAGAGTTCTCAATTACAGCAGTATGAAGTACTAGGAATGGAAAACTAGAGCGAAAACAGACGTCCCACTTTAGGCCCCTTTACTTTCTCCGATGCTTGATCCTCCACAAGGCAACCATCACGACAAAATGAACATTACAGTTGTTATCCGCCAATTGTCCAACAGAAATCAAACTTGTAGATAAATTAGGAGATACAAAAACATTGTTATCCCCAAGTTTCCAATCACAGTTATTAGTAACATATTATCATTGGCTATTTCTATGTGTTGCTTACCCTCAAACTTTTTAACGTCGTGCAAGTTATCCGTATTCCTAGTCATATGATTTGAAGCAGCGAAGTCAACCAACCAAAGAGAAGAGAGTAAATTTTTCTTACCTTGTAGTCCCAGATCGGAGAAGGCAGACATGATCATCTGATTCATTTGTTGTATCATCTCAGGTGCGAGGGTAGAAGAGGAATTGCTTACTGAGGTTTGATCGCCAAATGAGGTAGACTGAACGTTAGCTTGAAAGGCTTGAGCCAGGCGATTCTGAGGTCGTATCCGATAGTCCTTCCTTGCATTAATTACAGAATGTCTTGTTACAATGCTTGGCAATATGTCCAAACTCTTTGCACATGTGACATTGCGGCTGATGTTTAGATTTTCCTCGTCTCTGGGCAGTATAGGCCACATTAATAACCTCAGAGGACACAATCATTTGTCCCATTGTCAGTTGAGTAGCGAGACGTTCTTCACGTAATAATTCTCCTAGACAAATATCCAATGGTGGAACATGATTATGGTTGAGTAAACTAGACGTAACTGTTTTGAATTTCGGTTAGAGCTTCATAAGAAATTGATCCCTTTGATTTTCTGCTTGAATTTCCTGTAGTGCAGCTAATGCTTCTTTAGGAGCCTTGAAATGAATTATGCTGAAGTATTCGCTCCATAGATTAAGAAAATCAGCATAAAATTGATCAATCGGAAGATTACCTTGATTGTATTGTGCAATTTCTAATTCCAATTGGAACTTCCGTGCGGAGTTTCCTTGATTGTAATCACATCTTTGATACTCCTACATATCCTTGGCCATAGTGAATGAACGAAGATTGGATATCATATGAGATTCGATTGATCCCAAAATCCATGAGATAATACGAGCATTTGCACTTTCCCATTGTTCTTTCCCTTTTTATCCTCAAGACTCGTAGATGACCAATCCAAATGTCCCCAAAGTTCTTTGCCTTTTATAAACATTTTAAACTGAAACTCCCATGTGGAGTAATTTTTTCCATTGAAACGGATGAGAATATTTTCCATCGACATCATAAATGCAGCAATCCAATACAATTCCTCTAATTAGACAACAACATTAATATGTTTACTACAGTCCAAACAGTGGCCCAACAATAGCCCAAAAGAATAAATTATAGCCTAGGCAACAATAGGTGAATGTCAGCAGCCCAAAATGTAACCTAAGGATAGAAATATTGGCCCAATTAATGATATATAATAGCTACCCAATACGTAACAATAGCCCAACTGAACAACCCAGTAGTATAACAACAGCCCAAAACAAACGAACCTGCAGATCGATCGTCACTTCCTCATCGATTGTCACCTCGGCGAATCTGGCGCCTACAAAAGAAGTTTCCCCACTCTTCGTCGTTGTCTATGCCGTTCACAAAAGAATGGCAAACTGAGAAATCGTGAAAAAATTGACTCTCTCCAAAAAAAAGCGAACCGACCAAAGTTCGGCCAGGAGAAAAGGAGGCCAGAACACCAAAAACAAATTGGTAAGATTTCTGACCGATTCTGCAACACCTAGAAATTTTACAAAAAATTGTAAAATCAAAGGAGACTCTGATATCATGTTAGAACTGTCTCCATGCCTCTCAATTGAGAGTTTCTTCTTATCAAATAGGAACTTTCTCCCTAATTATCGTCCTAAATTACAGCCAAAACATTTCTATCAAATCTCCTAATTATGTCACTTTCATATTTCATATAAAAAGAAATAAAATATATTCTATATTTACGATATAATCATGTGCATAATGTGTGTGATATGCTGTCAATTTTGATAAAAGTTGACGAAGTGTGTGGTAGAAAAGTTGTGGACCTCGTAAAATATGTGATTAAAATTAATTGTTGAATTTGACTTGAAATTAAAATCAGATATTAATCAGAAACAAACAAGGGCTAATTCTTCTCCCATTGTCTAGATACACTGAATTCTTTGGCCTGTTGTATTTTTAGTGACTCTTTTGTTCTGGGAAAGATTTGGGTTTTTACTATGCATTTGTTGAATCCCTTGTAAGAGTTGTTTTAACTTCAATTACACCTTTTATTATTTTTTGCAGTCTTGTAAATTTCCATGGATTTACTGATCTGTTGTACAATTTGCCTCTCCTCCAACAACTAAATTTCTTTATTTTTAAATGATGCATGTTCAGTGTATTATTGAGTAATGAGAATTATGCAAGTGAAACGCCACTTTATTAATGACTTTGGATTGAATAGTATTATTGCAGCTTATATGTTCATTTATCTTCCTTCAGTTGTTGCATTTCTTTTTAATTTATGCATGTGCTGCCCTAAGCTTGCAGCTTTCACCATAGTATCATCCAAGAACTTGTAAAATGCATTATGTACAGTCTACTAGATATCTTTTTCAGCACTATAGAAAACTGGCCTACATTGTGATAAATCATTAATGTGGCTAATAAACCTGCGAAGAAAAATCTGTAATATTAGTAGGAAACATAGTTTGGAAGTAAGGAGTGTGAACTAGGACTTAGAACATATTGTCATGCTCAATTTATAAGTCGGATTAGTTAGTAAGCCAATGATTAAAGAAATGAACTTTGTCGTATGAGCTTCAGGTTGTTTGTGAACAGCAGTTTGGTTACTTATATTGGGTTAGGATTGGTTGTATAAGGAAACCTTTGGAAAAAAGAAACATGTGTGAACAGCAGCAGCAGTAACACGACAAGAGCTATCTTTTTTTTCTTTTCTTTTTTTTTGAAATTGGTGAAAATACTAGAACTGAATTTTCCGGGTGTGAACAGTACCCGTGAATGGTAACTTTTTTTTTTTTTTTTATAATATACTAAGGAAGAAATTGCTGCCACAACAAATTCTTTTTTTTGTGCTGTCCTAGGATTTTGGAGAAATTGATCAATGATTTGCATTTATCGACAGAGGGTGCGTGATTGTGGTAACGGCCGGAAGAATTTTTGGAAAAATAATTAAAAGAATTTAGATGAAGAAATATTACTCAAGTTTAGCTCTGATACCAAATTTGATACAGCACCAACTGGACAATTAATGGAGAAATAAAACAGATTTATAAAGAAGATGGAATTAAGGGGGAGAATGGTGGAAGAATAAGAAAGTAGGAAGAGAAATTTGGCCACAAGCCACCAAAAGTTTTATTCATTCATCAATTGTCTTAAATAAATAACAAATCAAATATAAATAGCAAAACAAAACCGTAAAGAGAACGGGCTTAGGTCAAACCCCTTATTCAAGCTCAATTACATAAATAAGAGTCCAAAACATATATAAAGTCCAACTAGAAAAATAAATAAAATGGATGATGTCCTCATCATCATCTTGACAAGAGATCATGAATAAGAGATACTCAAGTTTAAAGGATTCTTAGCTAAAGAATTTGATATTGAAGATGTAGGCAATCTCAGTTACTTTCTTGGTATGGAAGTGGCACGATCGAAAAGAGGAATCATAGTCGCTTAACGAAAATATGTACTGGATCTCCTGAAGGAAACAGGAGTGCTTGATTGTAAACCTATTGAAACTCTTATGGATTCATCTATTAAACTAGGAGTAAGAAAAGATAGTGCACCTGTGGATAAGGGTAAATACCAGAGGTTAGTTGGAAATTTATTTATCTTTCCTACACTAGACTAGATATTAGTTTTTCTGTCAGTGTGGTGAGTCAATTTACGAATAAACCAACTGCAGAGCACATGGAGGCTGTTTTCAAAATTCTAAGGTATCTAAAGATGACTCTAGGCAAAGGATTGTTCTTCAAGACTACTTAAAGTAGAGAAGCTGAAATCTTCACTGATGCAAATTGGGCCGGGTCTATATTTGACTGACGATCAATTTCGGGGTACTACACTTATGCCTGGGGAAATCAAATCACTTAGCGAAGTAAAAAACAATCTATTAAGTCTCGAAGCAGCGCAAAATTAGAATTTCGAGCTGCTCGTGGCATTTGTGAAGTAATATGGTTGAGAAGGGTCCTTCAAGAACTAAGTATTCCAATTACAGATCCTATGAAGATATATTGCGACAATCGATCTACCATCATCATAGTGAAGAATCCACTTCATCACGACAAGACAAAACATGTGGAAATTGATCGGCACTTTATCAAAGAGAAAATAGAGTCTGGGGATAATATCTCTACTTTACACTCCAACATACAAACAGATTGTCGATATTCTCACTAAGGTAGTACTAATAAAAACATTTGAAGAATTCATTTCCAAGCTAGGCTTAACTAATGAACTAACTTTTATAACCTAGCTTGAGGGGAGTGTGGAATTCCTGATCTTTTGTCCCAATTTCTAGGAAATCTTGCAACTGTAAATTAGTTCCCAATAAAGGGATGTTATTTTTATCGATTCCCATTCTCAGGCATTTAGTTAGCGGAGTATTTTAGGAAATTAAATTTATTATTTTGATTTAAGGAAGTGATTTATTCCTTCCATTTTCCTATAAATTGTACATACTTTATCATTGGAAACGTGAATAAGAATTACACGTTCTTCGCTATTCATGTTTTCCAACCGCATCCTATTTGTTTTATAATCTTTCCTTTAGATTTGTGCTCTTAATATTGGGACTGCTTGTTCATTTCAGATGATGGAAGAACTGGCTCGTTTTTTATAGGCAATGACCAGTTCTCTGCATCACTCTTGGATCTTCCCACTGTTGTAGAGTCCTATAAAACTTATGATGACAGTGCGTTGATAAAAACTGCAGACATTGGTCAAGTATGCTGGTCACTGTTTGTTAATTATTTTCAACTCTCTCATACATCTGCTTCAGCTGTAACATGACCGTGTTAAATTTTTGAGGTGTGGCAGATGATAATGGTGACAGAGGATGGTGACAGTGTTCCAGACACTGTGGAGTACAGACACGGCCTTACCCCTCCAATGAGGGATGCTCGAAGGCGAAGATTTCGCCGGGAGCCAGATTTAAATGTGCTAATTCCTAAATTTATTGCCTTCAATTGTTATTTTATCTCTCATTTGTTTGTCCTCTTATTGAATGTGATGTTGCTATAGCTCATTCAATATCATCTGCCCTGATTGTTTCTGAGGCACTTCTAAATTACTCCGTATGA